ATCCAAGATCGTCCTGAGCACATCCATTCTTGAACCAAGATCTTCCTGGACACATCCTAGACTTGATCCAAGATCGTCCTGGGCACATCCATTCTCGAACCAAGATCTTCCTGGACACATCCCATTGTTGAACCAAGATCTTCCTGGACAAATCCCATTGTTGAACCAAGACCTTCCTGAATACATATCAGTTTTGAACCAAGATCTTCCTGGACACATCTCTCAAGATCTACTAATCAAACCAAGTATCATCCTTGCTTGATTTAGAAATTCGAACCCGCCAAATGATGGACAACCAAACCAATAAAAGCAGTTTTCCAAGCAAAGACAACAGTACTTCTCCTCGAAGCCTGGACTGGTATTGGACCCTTCGATGGATTATTGGTGTATTCATAATTTCTGGTAACTCAATCATTATCATCACCGTAATGATCCGCAGAAGACTGCGTAACAACATCCCAAACCAATTCATTGTATCCTTAGCAGTGGCTGATCTTTTGACGGGGGTTGTCATCATCCCAGCTACCTACCATTGCTCTTTTCATGAATGTGATTGGTCAACTTTGTTTACCGCGATCAACTTCTTACTTTTTTCATCTATCTCTAACTTGTGTGTGATGACATTAGACCGATTTCTTGCAGTTGTTTTTCCTTATGCTTACCAGACGTTCATGACACAACGAAAAGCCTTGTTCCTCATGGCGGTTGCTTGGGTCATCCCATTCATTGTCAGCGTTATTCCAATCGCGTGGAAATACAAACAACCCTCCGAAAAAGCATCTTACGAAAAGACTTTTATGATTCTACAGACGTTGATTATTGAAATTACTCCTTGTATCCTGATGTTAGTCACCCATATTCCGATCTACCTGATCGTGAGAAAACACTCCAGACAGATAGCATGTCAGAACGCTTCTCAAGTCAACAACCAATCACAATCCAAAGCAAAGAATGAACGATCTACTGTCAAAGTCTTCACTCTTGTAGTGTTTCTATTTATCGTCTGCTACGGTTTCTCCATATACAGGGAGGTTTGTAGGCAGTTAGAACTGTGCAATCCACCGTTGCAGATCACGTTGGTCTCGCGTTTACTTTATCTCTCTAACTCTGCCATGAATCCATTTGTCTACTCTTTCCTCAAGCGAGACATTCGACAAGTAATGAAGCAAGCCCTGACGTCTTGTTTAAGACGGTTCGGAGAAACTGTGGATTTGAGAGACGAGTCTGAATCCTCAAGAAGAAGTCGTCAACCCCATCCGAGGGAAATGGGCCAACAACCCTAAATATTGAACCTAAAACTTGGCCTGACAATAAGCATGAATAACTTTTTGTAATACACGTATCAAAAATATAACGCACTAGTATTTAATCAAGCATGAGCTATAAGATACATCGTTCTTGTGTTTAAAGGTATAGAATAGATTGATGTTCAAAGGTCTCTAAAGTATCAAAATACGACAAAATCATAACGGCCCGGCTACTAAGCCCTTGTTAGATCCAGGAACAGTACCTAAGATATTCGCGTCATCGCGCCGGGGCTACAGGGTTGAATTTGAAACCTTTTTCTAATTGGATTTTATTTATCTTGAAACTTCCTTCGAAGAACTAAATTAAGTAAACTCAACAGAAGCGATATCATGTACTTCCTACGTTGTTCCTTCAACCAACCACACCAATATCAAGACGTTTTTTTCAAACACCTCATTTATTTTGATTATATAAATAAATAAATATACAGTTTCGTCATCTTTTCATTTGCTATATCTCATAAGTTGTTCTTTCAACTGGTTCGCCTGGTCATTCAAGGTCAAGATACCATTTGGCTGCTATGGAAAAACCTGTTTAACTTGTTTAATTGACTTGTATTCAACTTGTTGACTGCTGGCTTTGTCAGAACTATCTATCCTCACATTATCTTGTATTTCTCTACTATGGGAAGTAAATTCTCGAATGGTTTTCTTCGTGTTCAGTCGGCGTCGATCCGTTTTTGGTTGAAAACAATTCCTTCTGCATGTCTCGGCCATAGAGGTGCATCGCGTACAGACGTTTAGATTGGGTCCACAAGCCGTGACACAAGCCTGCCAAAACTCGCTGCATTTCTTTAGGCAATGTTTAACAGCGCTTGGGAATTCAATTATCCGGGTTTGGACCACGCAAACACAAAGAAGCATGAAGTAAATGAGGGGAACAATGGTCTTCATGCTTTAGGATTAATGGAGCCCTCTTGTTGGTTCCTAAATAAAAGAATGAATGAAAGAAAATGTATACATGAATAAAATTAAAAGCATTAGAATATCAAGATTATTAATCGTGGCTGAATTACATTTATACATATACATTTTATCAAGAGAAAATGAACTAAGAGAAGGAATTCCCCCTAAACAGC